TTTTTGACAGAGTCTTTCTCTGTTGCCCGAGCTGGAGTGCAGTGGCACAGTCTAAGCTCACTGCAACCTCCGCCTCCGAGGTTCAAGCGACTCTCCTGCCTCAGCCTCCCGAGTAGCTGGAATTACAGGCATGCGCCACTACACCTGGCTAATTTTTGTATTTGTAGTAGAGACGAGGTTTCACCACGTTGGCCAGGCTGGTCTCGAACTCCTGACTTCAGATGATCCACCCGCCTCAGCCTCCCAAAGTGCTGGGATTACAGGTGTGAGCCACTGTGCTCGGCCTCTTTAGTTTGCATTTTCTTTGGTAATCCATACCTACTGATAGAAAAACTCTTGTTTTTGCCTTGTTTGAGCCCATTTTTTTAATCTGTTTGCTAAGAAAATGGATAGTTGACTCAAAGTTCAGGGACTGTGGATTTTGACCTTGACCTAGGGGATGTAGTGATACAAACACACTTTCTTTCCCTGCCTATTTAGAGGCAGGGTGTTGTTCTGTCACCCAGGCTGTAGTGCAGTGGCTAACTGCAGCCTCAACCTCCCAGGCTCAGGTGATCCTCCTGCCTCAGCCTCCCAAGTAGTTGGGACTAGAGCTGTAAGCCACCACACCCAGCTAATTTTTGTATTTTTTGTAGAGACGGGGTCCCACTGTGTTGCCTAGGCTGGTCTCAAACTCCTGGGCTCAAGTGATCTGCCCACCTTAGCCTCTCAAAGTGCTGGGATTAGAGGTGTGAGCCACTGTACCCAACCCAAATACACTTTATTTATTTATTTATTTATTTATTTATTTATTTTTGAGACAGGGTCTTGCTCTGTCGCCCAGGCTGGAGTGCAGCTGCAGTGGTGCGATCTCGACTCACTGCAACCTCCGCCTCCCAAGTTCAAGCAGTTCTCATGTCTCAGCCTCCCAAGTAGCTGGGATCACAGGATCACTTAAACTTTGTCACCTTAACCATTTTTAAGTGTACAGTTCAGTGGCATGTACATCCTCATTGTGCAATCATCATCACTATTCATCTCAAGAACTTTTTCGTCTTGCAAAACTGAAACTCTGAACCCATTTCCTCTTTCCTCAGCCCCTGGAAACCACCATTCTACTTTCTGTCTCTATAAACTTGATTATTCTAGAGACCTCATAGGTGTAATTATACAGTATTTGTCCTTTTGCAACTGGCTTATTTCACTTAGCATAATGTATACTTTTTAAAATGACCGCCTTTTTTTAAAAAAAGGACAGGCCAGTTATTTTGTATATACAATTTATTTTTTATTATAATAATTCTTTTTAGAGACAGGGTCTCGCTCTGTCATCCAGGCTAGAGTGCAGTGGTGCGATCATAGGTCATTGTAGCCTCATCCTCCTGGGCTCAAGAGAATATCCTGCCTCAGCCTCCTGAGGAGCTAGGACTACAGGTGCACACCACCATGCCTAGCCTTGTAGAATGTTATTGTGGGGTTTTTGTTTGTTTGTTTTTGTTTCTGTGGTTTT